GAGAGCGTGGTGGCGCGCGGGGAGGGACGGCTAACGCGTGCCCAGTTTTTTCTACACTGACCACTGAATACATAAACAATGTTCTTGAAATATTTTTTCTTTATAGCCGAATAAATTTTCTAGTTGGAGATATAGAATTTGAACTTTGTTTCGTTTAAATTATGAGCAATGCAAACGTGCGCCTTTTTCCATATTTAACATGCAAATAATACTTAGTATGTAAACTACAAAACAACAAAAATGATAATGTTGTCAACATTTTAAATACAAAACAACACACGCAACAAAGTTGTTGCGCCAGTAGCATACCTAAGTCAAAGATATCATATTATCACACTACATTTTGTATAAAAATCCAATAAAATGCATTCATTACGACTTTGCATTTTTTTTTAATTTCCATAAAGAGCATCGGCTACTCGAACATCTTGGAACGTCGAATATATTTCATACGGCAATTAGTTAATTTAAAATCTTCATATTAATGTTTCGTATGTAATGTATGTGAGAAAATATTTTGAATGTATAATATAGGAGGATTTAGTGTTAAAGGTGCAGTTGAATCGATAATTCTGGAATGTGTAATAATTTCTATGTAAAAAAAAGCAATTTTTCAATCAGAACCGTAACAAATAAGTTGTGAATAACACCTCATTGTGATAACGATTATTTTTTATTGCTGCAGTTAGATCAAAAGTTTGTTGCGGCCTCTGTCGATATGATTGCACTAATTTAATAACCCCATGCAATTCGTTCGGCTCAACTAATTTAAATGAAACGGTAGTTGTTTTCATTAGCGGGCACTTAGTAACGGGATTGGGCATTGATTCATTCCGATAAGCACTTTATTGGGCGTAACGGAATTCCATAGGTACTCATTTAGTTTACGAACTAGTTGGGCTTCTGTTTATTATAAATAGAAAACTTTAATATAACTTCGAAAATTACAAATGTAAAGCAATCTGTAGTTACCTCGATATTAAATTTAAACAATGGCATTTGCTTAGATACCTTAATTTAATTTTTCAAGTTGATTAATCTATATTAATATAATAATGCATAAACACACACTTCTTTGTTGCCTAAGATGTCAGTAATCACAGCATATTTTCGAATAACTCTTTTTTTTAAACTTAGGGGTAAATATTTTGGATAAAAACCCTACTGTGAGAAAGAGACCATAAGTTGTTGCCAACATCAAGGAAGCAAGGTTGCCATGGTTTGACATCATGTCATGTCATTTTGACATTTGCATTTAATAATTAGATAAATGTGAACAATAAAATGAAATTTTTATAATTTAATGCGGATGAAGTCGCATGGGAACAGCTAGTCTAAATATAAAAAAAGACTGTTAATTTAATCATCGTAAAATTATACCGAAATTACATATCATATAGGAAAATAATATTAAAAACAAGTAAATATGTGAACTTTCAAAGACACGCAACACGTTAAAGTTAATATACAATCTCTACATACCCTTGAGAATAGCTTGCGTGTCATCTTTACTAATTTGTACTACATTTATTAATTAACAAAGAAATATTATGTAAATGAACGTATTTTAACACAGCAGGTGGAATGTTGGCTATTAGATTAGGAAATCGTTTTGGTAATGATATATTTTAATATTTCATATATATTCTTACTTGGTTAGATTACAGATGTAAATAAAATTATGTCTTTTAGTGCGCATGCACTCCTTTGACTAAACGGTCGCAGAATTGTTTAGTCGGCTGTGTTTACTATGAGTTTATATGGAGGTACGCACATTAGTCGATTTTTAGTTGTGCACCTAAATAGGAATGGGCTGAGAAACAATCGACAATCGATAATCGAACAACAGTTGTGGTCCGCTCTTAAAGAGTTATCCTTCTGTCATAAAATTTTGTTTTTAAATATTTGAGTTCTACAGTTTTTAAAGTAATATTTATTGTCGGCTACTTTACTTTTTTATCGCATATTGGATTTAAATTGGTCACGATAACAAGTACGAGTCATCATGGGGTTGAACCCCGTGATTTTGTACCGGATATGACCTGCGGGGAAGTGTTAATGGGTTCCGTAAATAATTTTTTTGCTTTTTAAATGATTACGTGTAATCAATGGATCAGCTCATTGTTCCATTAGGGATGGATGAGTAAGGATATTAGATCAATACACGAAGGGTGTTTCACCCCTTCTTAGTATTGTTACAGTTATGTTCTGAGGTCAAAATTAAATAGCGTGTTGAATTAACATTAAAGTTAATAAATAAATAAACCTATATATATTTTTTAATATTACGAATGTAGTTAAATTTCGCTCAGCCATTCGCAAAATTAGAATCTAAAAATTAAACAAGAAATTCGTGTATATCTTGATCTCTAAAGATTTTTGTTAGTAGTTTCCATGTTACTCATAAAACTGAAGCCTCACAAGTGCTTTATCAGTAAATAAATGTTACACGTAAAGATATACGGGAGGCAACTAGACGATTTCCCAAGTACCACTTGGAAGATTAGATCGCGTGATAAAAGGAATAAATAAACTTCGACGACAGGCGATTAATAACACAAATAACTCTGAAACATATTTCATCCACTAATGCGTGATTAGTTCAATACAAATTACATTATTCATGGTGTTCAAATCCAATAAGATCATTTGAAATGGTCATTGTGTTTGGGATCTATCGCTTAGTTACCACCCACGTGTTTTAATACGCTTGTTAAAACTTCTCTAGTACAATGGCGTGATCATGGAATATATCTTATAAGCTATTCTTAACATGTTAATAATGACGTGTCGATAATTCTTTTATTTATATTAAATGTGTTTTCTGTCAACTCTAAATTTTTGATGGCATCAAAACTTATCGGAGTGCACATAGAGTTTAAATTAATTCAATTCTCTTCAATTATTTCAACTATGTTTTGGACGAGTCAGTCGATGTTTTCGTATGTTGTGACAGTGTCGAAAGAAAATAGAAAACAGTAGCAATATTTATTATGTGGTTGTTACGAAACCATTATAGATGTCTCCATCATCCGAAGGGTGTTTGATGCAATAATTTTCGTGTGTCATAACAAACGTCATTTATTCCGCCTCCCGTAGAGCAATTAAGATAAAATAAGTTTTCGTTATCAAACTGTAAATCGACTACTTAATATCCACCACACCTGTTTACCGTTATTTGCACATTATACAAACAGCTGATGCGTAAAGGTGATATTTTCAAAAAAGATTCCAAATCCAGTCAAACACATCTGTACCCCTTTTTAATTGAAACTCGCTAACTGATCCCTTGTCTTTTGAGTCGCTCCATGTATCTTGCTTGTTTTACTTAATACCTTTGTAACGACTTAAGAGGTAATATACGGTGGCAATAAAAATAAAATTATTGACAAGAGCGAGAATTTGTTTAATCATATGGTAATGCAAAAAGCTTTAAAAGTATGTGGATGTTTTTTTCAAAATCAATCGTAACTTTTTAAAATTTTAATTATCTTCCAAATATAAGAGGGTGATAAATTATTATTTTTATTGTTTGAAAGATAACAAAAATCTGATTGCACATTAACATTTTTTAATTGTTAGTGTTACTTGTAAGTACTAGACAAGAATCAAACTTAAAACTGGCGTCAGTTTTAACTTTGAAAACTAGCTAGTGATGTGTGTGAACGTGTCTTGTTATAACGGAAATTGCATGACATTCATAGTTGTTCGGACAATTACCCGCTGCATATAAAACAATTACGTTACAAATGACAGAGATGCCCGTGACGTGGGATTCGGGGTGAGTTTTACGATGATTATGGGAATAATGTCATCTGTGTACACTTTTATTTACGCATCACTGGTGTGAGAGCAAATTACAATGTTTTTGAAATTAACGTGTTTGTTTTTCAGTTATTAATCAATAATATTATTGTGTTATTATACGAATGTTATTTTGGGCATTAGGATGTTTTAAAAAAAACGAAAACATAGGAGTAAGATCGGCTGTATTTTTTTTATCCTGATACAGTAGGACCTCGATAACTTAAAAATC